GTATGAACCCCTCTCTCTCAGTGCAGTGTTAATGTACTGGAGTGTCCAGTCAGTGTGTCTGTATGAACCCCTCTCTCTCAGTGCAGTGTTAATGTACCAGAGAGTCTGGTCAGTCAGTGTGTCTGTATTTATCTTCACTCTCTCTCTTCCATTAGTGTCTCTCCAGGGTAATTCCATCCTAATGGTATTAAGTAATCCTTCCTGCTGAAAGGGAGGGCAGAGAGAGAGGGGGATGGGGAGAGAGGCTCTCTCTGCGTCCTCATGTCCCTGGCCTGCAGCTGTCGAACCCTGACGCGAGACAGACAGCGCTCTGCAGCTGCGGTAATGTCTGTGCCTCAGTACGGGTCCGGGGGCGACGGAGAATTATTTCTGCACCCAAAGGCATTTACTGGGGAGAAACAAAACCACACACAGAGAGAAAAACAAGCTCCAAATAAGCACAGAGATCAAAACACACTTAAGAACTATGAGGAAAACAGCTGAGAGGGTGGATCCTACCCAAGAGCCTGACGATAATGGAACATGTTGGTTCTCGGGGTTAAGAGTGTAAGAGAGCTGAGAGAAAAGGAGGCAGGGAGTAGGTTAGTCAGGGTTAGGAGATGACCAGTATTGTGGGGGTTTAGTGTGTGGGGTCAGTTGTTGCTATGGAGATGACCAGTACAGTGAGGTTTGGTGTGTGGGGTCAGTTGTTGCTATGGAGATAACCAGTACTGTGGGTGGTCAGTTGTTGCTATGGAGATGACCAAACTGGGGGGGTTTAGTGTGTGGGGTCCGCTGTTGCTGTGGAGATGACCAGTATTGTGGGGGGCCAGTTGTTGCTATGGAGATGACCAGTACTGTGGGGGATTGGTGTGTGGAGTCAGTTGTAACAGTGGAGATGACCAGTACTGGGGGAGGTCAGTTGTTGCTACTGAGATGTACAGTACTGTGGCGGGTCAGCTGTTGCTATGGAGATGACCAGTACCATGGGGGCTTGGTGTGCGTGGTCAGTTGTTGCTATGGAGATGACCAGTACTGTGGGGTTTGGTGTGCAGGGTCTGTTGTTGCTATGGAGATGACCAGTACTGTGAGGTTTGGTGTGCGTGGTCAGTGGTTGCTATGGAAATGACCAGTTCTGTGAGGTTTGGTGTGCGTGGTCAGTTGTTGCTATAGAGATGACCAGTACTGTGGCAGGTCAGTTATTACAGTGGAGATGACCAAAACTGTGGGTGTCATCTGTTGCTGTGGAGATGACCAGTACAATGGGGTTTGGTGTGGGTGGTCAGTGGTTGCTATGGAGATGACCAGTAATGTGAGGTTTGGTGTGCAGGGTCTCTTGTTGCTATGGAGATGACCAGTACTGTTGGGGTTCAGCTGTTGCTCTGACTGAGAGGAACCGCTGGTTCTGATCTGTGGTGTCTGTGCTCGACCGACAAGTCTGTGGTGTGAAGCTACCAGCTGAGGGATTATGACTGATCACCTCTACGTCCTGGACGTTCAGGTTAGACCTTCAGGTGTTGGGTGGTGTGGAGCCAGACGTGTCAGAGTGGCGTGATGTGGAGCCAGATGTGTCAGAGTGGGGTGATGTGGATCCAGACGTGTCAGAGTGGGGTGATGTGGAGCCAGATGTGTCAGAGTGGGGTGATGTGGAGCCAGATGTGTCAGAGTGGGGTGGTGTGGATCCAGACGTGTCAGAGTGGGGCTGATGTGGCCGCAGAGCCAGTCACGAGAGAATGGTCGGCGAATGGCTGCTCAGCTTGGTTCCTCCTCGTTTGAAGGGCAGAAAAGATGACTGTGCGTCTCGGGAGACCCCCTGGATCACTGTGTGTCACAGTACAGGCGAACGGCCGCAATTCTAGCAGGGAGCCGGAACGAGCCGCTCTCTCTCGTGCCGGGGATGTGGCGCCCTCTGCTGGTCCGGCCTCGTCGCTGCTGCCGCACCAGGCAGGCCCAGAATTCCCGGCAGCAACAAGCCAGCAGGCCGATCCGGAGGTCCAGGACTCGAGCCGAGAATCACATCCTCCCTTCTCATTCATCCCAGAACACGTCAGGAACACACCTCATGGACATTTCTCCCGCAGGATGTCTTCAAACAAGAGTTCATTTGGCTCGCGCTCTGATCCAGACGGACTGCTTTTTGACCCATCTATCTGCTATTTTGACCCACAATCCGACTCGGGGGCGCGGGCAGCGGGAGTCTATCCCAGCCGGCAGCGGTCCGTCGCAGTGTTTTCTGGTCAGATTCGTGGCTTGTATTTCACTGGGGTGAGAGCCTGTGACTCGGGGGCACAGCAGCAGCTGGGGTCTCGGGATGAACTGCAGCCTGACCGCCTGCTCCGCCCTGCTGCAGCTCCTCCGGATCGCCCCCCCCCCCAGGCTGGAGAGACTCCGCTGGGCTCTTCCCTCCTCACCAGGAAAGCAGACTCACACAGGCCTGGAGTTTGAAAGTGCTTTATTAACTCTAGACAGTGTGCGAGTGTCTCTGTCACTGTGGTCGCTCATACAGTACACACAGACAGACAGCAGTCTTGCTCTGAGGGGAGACACTGTGTCTCCCGTCCTGGTATCTCCTCTCCTTCTTTCTGTGCCTCCCGTCCTATCATCTTCTCTTCCTCTCACGGTCTCCTGTACTGTTGTGTGGGTTTATTACTGAGGGATGTTTTATGATCTCCTCTCTCTCTCACTGTGTCTCCCGTCCTGTTATCTCCTCTCCTTCTTACTGTGTCTCTTGTCCTGTTGTGTGAGTTTATCAGTGAGGGACTCTCTGTGATCTCCTCTCTCACAGTGTGTCTCCCGCCCTGTTATGTCCTCTCCGTCTTACTGGGTCTCCTGTCCTGTTATCTACTCTCGCTCTCACTGTGTCTCCTGTCCTGTTGTGTATGTTTATTACTGAGGGATTCTCTGTGATCTCCTCTCTCACTGTGTCTCCTGTCCTGTTGTGTGTGTTTAATACTGAGGGATTCTCTGTGATCTCCTCTCTCTCACTGTGTCTCCTGTCCTGTTGTGTGTGTTTATCACTGAGGGGTTCTCTGTGATCTCCTCTCTCTCACTGTGTCTCCTGTCCTGTTGTGTGTGTTTATTTCTGACAGATTCTGTCTTGAATTTTATGGCTATAGACACACTTACTCTCTGTAATGATCCTACTGATTTCAGTACTGATCAGTACCACTGTACTGATTTCTACTATTTAACTAGACTGCTCGGTATGTACACACAGTACTGTACAGTTCACTGCACTGTCTCTGAGCTCGATCTACTGTACAGCCACCCTCTCCTCCACCCTCTACTCCCCTCCTGAGAAGCTGTACTCCGCCTTGTGGTGCATTATCAGCTTGTTATTGATGAAGTAGAAGCTGTCAGACCTTGTTGCAAAGGGGTGAGCGATCATCTCTTCAACTAGGGAAGAAAGAGAGAGGGGTTAATACAGACACACTGACTGGACACTCCAGTACATTAACACTGCACT